AAGAGAAAATAAAGAGAAAGTAACTAAGCTGATGTCCTGTCCGTTCGTTCACCATACAAATACGCTACAGTAAACTAAAACTACATTAAAACATTACTAAAATTTGTTTGCCCCCCCCCACCCCCCCCCTGGAAAGTTAATCGATTTTTTTGCCGATCGGCGTATTTATAGTCTTTCTTAGAGACTTTTCTAGAAAGGGGCTACACCAGTGTTTCTGTATCTAGGCCTGTCTCGTAAGTTCTAAAGAATTCTAATTAGACTATAGCCTGTGCTTACATGTCGTCAAGGTCAAGGGAGACAACTTGTCTCTAAAGCACACCCATCGGTCTCCGAGCTTGGGGCCACCCAGAGTTCATGCACGGGTTTCACGATGTAAACAAGACGCATCCCGTAACAGCGTAAATGGATATCTGACTAACATATGGAGACGTAGTGATGTGCAGTTTGTTTCAAAATTTAAAACACGTGGTCTCCAAAGAGAATTAAAGATATTTTAATTTTTTTAAAAACTTTTTATAAATTTTAGAATATAAAAATAAATAAATCAATAGTCGAAAGGGAGAAGAAATGACAGGGAAATTGTGTTGTTGTTTCTGTTGTGTTCAATAGGGATGGGAGTTGCTTTAACAGTTCTAAAAATAGACTTTCAAATGCAGATTTTTATAAAATACCAAATTTTTATACGACCATGCTGTAAGGAACACTCAGGAAAAAATTGTAAAACTGATAACTAACTATCTATATTAAAGACACTACCCACATGATCAAATGTCTTGATTCCTTGGTTTTATCTCATCAAGCCCATTCACTTTTGACAATGCACGTTTCTTCGCTGCGCACTTCGATTCCCCATTCTGATGGACTCACCGCTATTTCATTTGTTCTGAATAAGAATCCTAATCCTAAGTTTACAAGTGCCCTTGTACGTTTGACAGAAATGGTTTTACAGCTTAACTCGTTTGAATTTAATGGCAATTTAAAAAAAAAAAATCAGATCAGTGGTGTTGCTATGGGAACAAAAATGGGACTAGGCTATGCATGTCTATTTATGGGCCGATTGGAACATCTTTGGAGAGATCACTACAAAGGTACTTTCCCCAGAAAGCTACAAGAGATACATAGATGACTGAATAGGTATTACCAACATGAACATAACACAACTAGAAAGATATAATGACTTCGTTGGAGATTTTCATCCAAAGATCAAAATCACTTTAATGATCCATAAAAGTACTATCAATTTTTTGGACTGACCAATTAACCTGAACGAGAACAAGCTATCTACGACCATTTCATATAAGAAAACAGTCACAGTTTCCTACTATATTCATCATCCCATCCTCAATCATGCAAAAACTCCATCCCAATTTTCTCAGTTGCTTAGACAGAAAACTCTGTACAAATATTGAGGATTTTGGGAAAGGACGACGGAAATGTTAGATTTTTCCCGATGTAGGTCATAACCTGAGCAAATTTTAATAGCAGCTGTAACTAGAGCTAAAGGTACGACTGGACAGGATTCCTTTAACGCTACTCATTCTGACGGTAGGGAAGGTCTAGATCTAGTTTAACTTTTCACCCCCATAACCTTAAAGCTCAATTTCTGGATGCGAAAAAGCGCTCAGGTCTTATGGCAGACCCTGTCACCAAATGGGATTTTCAGAAACCTACCTCCACCGTATGTTTAACGATCTTTTGGCGTTCGTGTGGCGTATCCCGAAACCCACACCCACACCCAGGTACGCCAGTGGCTCCTAACATGTTCCACCAGGCGCCCTTTCTAAATTCTAACAAGCACAGTTGGAAATAACGAATAAATAAACATAATACAATAAAGTGTTGGGTAAAAATAAATAAAACACCTATGCAAGTGTCAACTGGAAACTACAAACAGAAGTTACTCAAGGATTGGCACCAAGACCCGCCAAATGTCACATTGGATTCAAAGTCGAAATGTGTTATTGTTTCGCGGCATCCCTTTGAGGAAGCCGAGACAACCCAGGATAGGGCAAGCCGAGACAACCCAGGATAGGGCAAGCCAAGACAACCCAGGATAGGGCACGCCAAGACAACCCAGGATAGGGCCAAGCCGAGACAACCCAGGATAGGGCAAGCCAAGACAACCCAGGATAGGGCCAAGCCGAGACAAACCAGGATAGGGCAAGCCGAGACAACCCAGGATAGGGCCAAGCCGAGACAAACCAGGATAGGGCCAAGCCAAGACAACCCAGGATAGGGCCAAGCCGAGACAACCCAGGATAGGGCCAAGCCAAGACAACCCAGGATAGGGCCATGGTGAGACAACCCAGGATAGGGCCAAGCCGAGACAAACCTAGGATAGGGCCAGGCCGAGACAACCCAGGATAGGGCCATGGCGAGACAAATCAGGATAGGGCCAGCCAAAGACAACCCAGGACAGGGCCAAGCCGAGACAAACCAGGACAGGGCCATGGTGAGACAAACCAGGACAGAGCCATGCCGAGACAACCCAGGACAGATCCATGCTGAAGAAATGTGGCACCTGAGCCGAAGCCGGAGAATGGTGACGCTTAATATATAGAAAAAAGTGCCCGTCGGGTTGGGCTAGTAAAAAGAAGATTTTTAGCACCCCTTGTCTTTCTAAAGTATATGGGATTTTTTAATATTTTAATTAGAGAGAACCCTGCATGCGTTGCAATGCCCCTCAAAGAAAGAAAGTGTTTGTGTTTCAATATTTTTTTTTTATAGACAATATTTTTTTTTCCGACTTGTGCGTACTCAAATAAATTGGAAAGTTTCTTGACGCATGAGCAGACCACATACATCTGTCAATGTGCGAATTAAATGGTCTTCAAAACTTAGTCCACACACTTGTAGCGATTGATCCACCTATGCAATAGCTCTGTTTGAAATTATACTTATATAGCTCGTATAATTTAAAAAAAACAAATTTAGGGCCCCCGACCGCAAAAGCAATATTGTCAAATGGTTGGACTAACTTGTTAAAAAAATTTGCGTGCTTGCGCACAACAAATCAATAAAGTTTTATCGCATTCGGATGAATGGTATAGGAGCGCCTTAGGCAATTATAATTATATTGCACATAAAAAATGAATTTAGGGCCCGGGCCAGAAAGGGGATATTGTAGAATGGTTGTACTTATTCAGAAACCTACTTATTATGTCACACGCAAACTGCAATGTCCCTGTCTGTATTTGATTTAATTTCCATCCACCTATGGATTAGCTATGTTTGAAATTATATTTATATAGCTTATATAAGAAAAAAGGAATTTAGGGCCCCCCGGCCCATGTATTAAAATAGGTATACTGATTCAGAAACCTATGCGGACGTCTGGACAACAACTTACCCAAGTTTAATCGCAATCGGATGAATGGTGTAGGAGCTCATACTGGACATGCATACACACATGCATACACACATTCATACAGACATTCATACAAACAAACATACAGACATTCATACAAACATACATACAGACATTCATGTAGACATTCATACCGACATTTATATAGACATTCATACCGACATTTATATAGACATACATACAGACATACATACAGACATTCATATACACATACATACAGACATTCATACAAACATACATGCGGACATTCATACAGACATACATACAAACATACATACATACATACATACATACATACATACATACATACATACATACATACATACATACATACATACATACATACATACATACATACATACATACATACATACAGACATACATGCAGACATTCATTTTGTGATATAGATTAAACCAGGGGCACAATTTGTTTTTATATTTCTTTTACGTCACAATTATCTATCAATTATTTGATTTCGTTGGTGGTTGTTTGTGTGTGTTGGGAAAAACGGGGGGGGGGGGGGGGGNGGGAGTCAAGAGCTTATTGTACATACGCACCGGGGGGGGGGATATGTCCGAAGATACGCGTTTAACAGGGTAGGGTACGAAACTTGACTACTTTTTGCATATTTTTTAAATGGATGCCCCCCCCCCTATTCACGATTTTTCTCTAATGATTTGGAGTTTCCTTTCATCTTTAAGTCTTTGAATTATTACCATAATGGTCCATGAGATATTACCAATACTGGTCCATGAGATATTACCCATAATGGTCCATGAGATATTACCAATACTGGTCCATGAGATATTACCCATAATGGTCCATGAGATATTACCAATACTGGTCCATGAGATATTACCCATAATGGTCCATGAGATATTACCCATACTGGTCCATGAAATATTACAACTACTGGTCCATGAGATATTACCCGTACTGGTCCATGAGATATTACACATATTGGCCCATAAGATATTACCCTTACTAGTCCATGAGATATTACTCATTATGTTTCATTATACATTACACGTATTGGTCCATGAGATATTACTTATACTGGTCCATCAGATGTTACCCATAATGGTCCGTGAGATATTACACCATCAGTCAAGGAGTTATGACCATACTGAACAATGAGATATTACCCTCATTGTTCAATAAGATATTACCATGATGGTCCATCAAGACATCAGGAATGTTGGTCATGATGTATGTTCCAAGCAAAATGCATATTGCGAATTTTAAAAGCAGGGTTAAAAAAAGCCAAACCAAAACAAGAACGTCAAGGCAATGTGCAATCAAATTAAGATCAACGCGTTTTTTTTTAAAATGTTAAAATATGTCACAAAAATATATTTTTCGATCTATTTTCCCCTCCCACCCCATTCCGTAACATACTCAATATGTTTTCTTTGATAAGAACCTGGCATGAACACGATCGATAACCAAATAAATAAATCTGTTCAGACAGCGTCGTAAACATAAATTTGGCCATTAAAAAGTAATACAAACAGGTTGAGATATTTGTGTGACTTTTTATTTCGACTCCATTCCTCATGGGGAGAAGGGGAGCGAATCATATCCTTTAAGTTCCGATCGTTTTTTTTTTCCTCAGACGTTTAATGCGTTTCCCATATAAGAAGTGCGACCAGCTGTTGCATCCTCAGCTTGAGACCAACGTTTTCAGTTGGTGTCCAGTGGATGCATTCATGTAGTCGGTAGGCCTAAGAGTGAATCATTTCGCTTAACTTAGCACTGAAGATATCAATTTTAATAAAAATTTCATAATTAGGGTCAACTAAGGATTAAATAAAAATAATTCTGGTATTTAAGTTAATTTCAATGCATTTTAATGCTTTCTTCACATCTGTAATGGTTTTAAATATTTCAGTTTTAGATAATAAATGCTAGCACAAAACTTGTATTATAATACTAACTAATATACATGCTCTGGTTAAGGCACGAGCTTACGCTCTTGAAGCACCTTTCAGTACATCGGCAAACAGCTCCATTTGCTGGGTTTTGCTATGTAACATTGTCGTATCACTCTCCAGCCACCATGGCCTCACCCCCACAAGAGCCGATGCAGGGCACGAAGTTACAGATGCGCTACGGTCTCTTGTGGCTAGCGTGCAATGCCTGCAGGTCGGATCCCTGTTGCTGTCTAGCCTGTTGAAGTATGCGTTAGAGGGGCAGAGTTCAGTTCCCATTTGAATCACCAGACTCTGATATCAGTGTCCCCATTTCCACGAGGTGTTTTTTTTCTACTTGGAAGCAGCATGTTAGCTAACACAAATCTGGCCTTCGTGCTGTTTTCCGATTGTCCATACAACATTGTTCTGAATTGGTTTGCCAGCCCATTTTTTACCCCGAGATAATTGACCGGTGTCTCTGGTTGGGACTGTGAAGCCCCGTTTTTTTTAATAGGGCCGCCAGTTCATTGCCTTCACGTTTACGGGCTTTAGTTCCAAAAGCACCCTTACATTAACCCTAATGTTCTCAAACTTTCTCACGTGATCCAAGATAGCGTCAACCAAGAGTGTAAGGACTTCCTTAGTTAAGATCTCAATAGCAGATCTTGAATCGGAGAAAATTATTAAATCAAGTCCCACACGCTCCGACCTCTGCAGCGTACTGTGCACACTTTCTAGTGCTTTGTGAATAGCCTCCAAGCTCCAATCTCTGCAGCGTACTGCGCACACTTTCCAATGCTCTGTGTATAGCCTCGAAACTCGACGCCGCGGTCGCACAGAGCTTCCTGAAGCATCTCATTAGGTGTCCCTCCTATGGGGTATAGGATGTGAGCACAGCTCCACGCATTTCTTTCTCTCACGCTTGCCGAGCCGTCTGTAAAATTGTTCTCTGTTGTCGCAAAAAACCGTTCCATTGTCTCACGGACAGAAGCGTTCTGCGCAGGGCTGCGTTTCGTCCCTGCCGTGCCCATACAAGCCAAACGTATATTTTCCCCATATGGTGGAATGACTAGGACGAAGGTAATTTTTTCTATATATTTTGGGAGTTTGACTGTCCTCTCAAGTTCCGTAACTTGATGCATGAAAGAGGATTTTTCATTCTACCGGCCGCCATCCAGCAGGGTTCCTTTTCATGTAAACTCCGGTACCGCTCTGCGGTAGTTATGATGTCTTGCTACTCCTTATTTCTGGCGGCTAAGATTTCCACAGCAGTTGTGGTTGTTGACCTGAAGGCACCACAGATGAGTCTCAGAACCCCGGGTTCACCAGGTTGAGCTTGGCGTTTGTCTGGGAGTTCAGGTCCTCTGCATAGTGTACATTTGTACCCTTTTGACCCAGTGTGACTCCTAAATAAACCGACTGCTTGTCCATTTTATAGCTACATCGTTCACCTTGAGTAAGATCTCTTGCGTGAGACTGGTCCGATCCATCGTGCATTAACCACCTTCTCTGTGTTAATGTTCATTTGCTACCGCTGCATGCACCTGCTGATAGCCGATAGGTCTCGCTGTACTAGTTGTTGCAGTCGATTGGCGTCCTTGCCCTCACTCCAGGTTACCAAATTGTCCTTATACATGGCTGCATTTGTTGTCAATATACTTGGCAAGTCATTGCCATCAGCGAGGAAGTGTGTGCAACTAATGGCTGATCTCTGTGGTAATCCACGTTCCAAAGTTGCCTTCCTCGAGGTTTCACAGTCAAATCATGTGTTGATCGTTCGGTCAGTAAGAGAACCAGCGAGCCACCTGTACATGCTCTCAGTTACGTCTAAGCCTTGCAACTTGAACCTTAAACGAGATTTCCAGACGCTGCCATGGGCTTGTCAGACGTAAACAAAAGTACAGTCATTGTATGGTGCTTTATCTGGAAACCATTCGGTTATGGACTGTGAAGACGGAGGACCTGGTCTACATGCTTTTTTCTTCTCTAGTTAAAGCCCGACTAGTTTGCGTTCAGACAATAGATGATCTCCGGGTAAAAAAAAATAGTCTTTCGTTGACTCACACTCACCACTCACTCACACAAACCCCTCACTCACACAAACCACGCACTCACACAAACCCCTCACTCACACAAACCCCTCACTCAGACAAACTCCTCACTCACACAAACCCCTCACTCACACAAACCCCTCACTCACACAAATAACTCACTCACACAAACCACTCACTCACACAAACCCCTCACTCACACAAACCCCTCACTCACACAAATAACTCACTCACACAAACCCCTCACTCACACAAACCACTCACTCACACAAACCCCTCACTCACACAAACCCCTCACTCACACAAATAACTCACTCACAAAAACCCCTCACTCACACAAATAACTCACTCACACAAATAACTCACTCACACAAATAACTCACTCACACAAACCCCTCACTCACACAAACAACTCACTCACACAAACCACTCACACAAACCCCTCACTCACACAAACCCCTCACTCACACAAACCCCTCACTCACACAAATAACTCACTCACAAAAACCCCTCACTCACACAAATAACTCACTCACACAAACCCACTAGTGATTAACACTCACCATAGCTCCCTTATTCTGCCCCCCAGATCACTGATCCTGCGCAAACCTCATTCCATGCCCACTCCTCAGATGACGTCCTGCGTAGCCATGAGGCTTCTTCTGGTCACTGCGTTACTCTTTGCTGTAATTCATGAACAAAAGGCTGCCACGTATGAGCACAACGAGTGTAAACATGTTGTAGAGATCGCCCGTCTTTGTGATCAGGTAAAGACACACTTTTAACAAGAGACAGATATTGTAAAGCTAGGGTTAGGGTTAGCGCTACTTAACCCCTTTCCCACGGTCCCAGATTTTTAATTTTTTATTAAATAGATCTATGCAAATTGTTCCAAATTAAAATTATGTTCTTGTTTCATTTAAATAACATTTTAAATGGACCCGTACCAAGACAACTTTGTAGATAAATGTAGAATACGGAGTACCATTAAAGATCAAGGTATAAGCCCATGTATATATCTATCTTCATACCCACATATAGGGACTTATAAAGACCCACGCATTAACACATGAATTGAACCTGGGTGTAGACTCATCTTTAGACCAGTAAGTAGACCCATATGTAGACCCCTGGGTGGACCCATGTATAGACCCATGTATTGCCCCCATGTGTAGCCCCATCTATAGACCAGTAAGTAGACCCAAGTGTAGACCCATACGTCGACCCCCGTGTGGACCCATGTATGGACCAATGTAGACAAATATGTAGAGAGCCATTATTTTTATCTCTTGTTTTTTAATATCTCCAGTGTACTCTGAGATTGGCCTCCGTTAACTTCCGGACGTTCTTTGATTGCTGCATGGACGTATACGGCATGAGAATATACTGTCAAACTGTGATAAGGTTCGACTAGACGAGGTTTAACGCCACCCATCCTGTATGCATAGCATTAGGTGGTTGACAGTCATCAACCTTCATATTAACACACAGAAGGGACCTACAATAAAAATAAATGTGTACCTGGGAGATTTTCACTGTAGTGATCAGCGCTTTATGTTATGGTGTAACATGGTTGTATTAAAAAAAGGAGAATTAAAATACAGTTAGTTGATACAGTTTGTTTTTTTTTGTAATTTTTTTTTCTTGGAAATAAAATGGTATATTTGCACACTCAACTCGTGTTGTCCTAATAAAGTTAAAGTAATTCATTTCTTGTCCTAATACAGTCAATGTAATTCATGTCTTGTCCTAATACAGTCAAAGTAATTCATGTCTTGTCCTAATACAGTCAAAGTAATTCATGTCTTGTCCTAATACAGTCAAAGTAATTCATGTCTTGTCCTAATACAGTCAAAGTAATTCATGGCTCCGCTCACATGAAGCCACATACACAAATATCGTAAGAAAAAATTAAAGGCTTAGCGAGCATATTGGAAGAGATTCAAGGAAGTCCCATTCAGCTATGAATCTCAAAATGAAATTAAATTTCAGCTGCCTTTAGATGTCTTCTATGCCTTGGTATTCCTTTTAAAAGTTAATAGTTTAAAAACTCATCAAAAAAAGAAGTTAATTTTGGAACGGACACCAATAACTCTTCTTCACTTGCTGATACTCAACTCTTGGATTGAACAGCTCCAGACATATCTGCTACTTCCTTGATCGCTGATGATCTGATCTGGAGTTCAGAATGAAAGCGACCAATACACTCCAGCATCTCCCTACCGTTTTCTTCTTGCAGAAAGCGTTCAACATCTATTAATTGTTCTCCTGTCATTCTCTTCTTAACCTTAATATTCTCTCTACCAAAATCCCATATTGGTCTGATTTTAAAAGTGCCTTTTCAATAGCAAGTTCCACCAAGTAACGGCGCGTCTCGTGCAAAAACAATCTTAAGGCCTCTAGCTTTGTCACCACTTTGTCAAGAATAAAGCCTTTAGTCTGCAGATACTTTCTCAAGTAGATCAGCCCAAAGGTAAAGGTAGCAGATAAACGTGAAATCACAGACAGCATGTCAAGGTCCTTGTGCTGCACCTCTTGTATCCAAATTTTCAAGAGGATTACACAGAGTTTCAATCACCGCCGCACATTCATCTAACTCATTTTTCTATGTTTTAACAGCAGCATGATGAGCACTCCACCGCGTTTCGGACAGTATTTTCACCGACATTCCAGTGTGTTCAATTAGAACATTCCCTCGATGAGTGGATGCAGCAAAGTCGGAAAATATTCTTTCAAGACTACCGAAAAATGTAATACATGAAGCATTTTCCGCTAAAGAGGGTTGACCACATAAGTTAAGCGAATGGTACACGCATCCATTAAAAATCGGTTTCTTTTTATTTCTTGTCAGAGTGGCCTGAACACATCCATGGATTCCAGACATTGTGGCAGCATTATCTTAACCTGGAGCTCTGAACATCTTTATGTCTAGCCCATTACGTTTTAGATTATAAGAATGTCAGAACTGAGCACATCAACATTTTCCCCTCTAAACGGGTGAAATGCCAAAAACATTCCTCTCACTTCAACTTTCCCTTTGTGAATTTTCACATATCTGATCAATTCAGACATCTAATCACTGTGTTATATATCAGGTGCACTTTCGAACGTAATTCCAAAATACCTCGCAGCCTTTATATCCATGATAAGAATCTCCTTCTCATGATTTGCAAGGACATTCATTTTGGGTTTCTGGTGAAAGGTAGATGCTTTTTCTGAAGATTTACTCCTCTTCAGTTTCAATTGGTGCTCTTTTAGCAAAGGGTCATATTTAGATAGCAGCTCAACCATTTCAATAAAGTTTCAGAGAAGATTCATCTTCGTTGTGGCCACGAAATGCCAGATTTTGCAATGTGATATCCAGCAACCTGTGCAAGATATCCCTCCACTTTTTCTTCTCCCTGTCCATCACAGCAATACTTTCGGCATCAATTGTTTTGTGTATCCTAAGTTAACGCGTTAACCGCCCCAGTTCTCAGAATTCAGATAAATTTAGCCTCCTGTAACTTACGGGAGTTACCGAACACTTCAGTCGTCGTGGAATAATGACTGTGTTTTTCTGACCTTAACATAGGGTCGTCTCATTTCTGACGCACCAACCTTGAATTTTTAATAAAGCACGCATTTGGATTGGTTACATCTGTGAACAAATGTATGTGTTGTTATCGCGGTTATCTTTTTATGAAGCTCGGTCAGACTGAGCAGTGTGTGTGCTCTGTCAGACTGAGCAGTGTGTGCTCTGTCAGACTGAGCAGTGTGTGCTCGGTTAGACTGAGCAGTGTGTGCTCTGTCAGACTGAGCAGTGTGTGCTCTGTCAGACTGAGCAGTGTGTGCTCTGTCAGACTGAGCAGTGTGTGCTCTGTCAGACTGAGCAGTGTGTGCTCTGTCAGACTGAGCAGTGTGTGCTCTGTCAGACTGAGCAGTGTGTGCTCTGTCAGACTGAGCAGTGTGTGCTCTGTCAGACTGAGCAGTGTGTGCTCTGTCAGACTGAGCAGTGTGTGTGCTCTGTCAGACTGAGCAGTGTGTGCTCTCTGTCAGACTGAGCAGTGTGTGCTCTGTCAGACTGAGCAGTGTGTGCTCTGTCAGACTGAGCAGTGTGTGCTCTGTCAGACTGAGCAGTGTGTGTGCTCTGTCAGACCGAGCAGTGTGTGCTCTGTCAGACTGAGCAGTGTGTGCTATGTCAGACTGAGCAGTGTGTGCTCGGTTAGACTGAGCAGTGTGTGCTCGGTCAGACTGAGCAGTGTGTGCTCGGTTAGACTGAGCAGTGTGTGCTCGGTTAGACTGAGCAGTGTGTGCTCGGTTAGACTGAGCAGTGTGTGCTCTGTCAGACTGAGCAGTGTGTGCTCGGTTAGACCGAGCAGTGTGTGCTCGGTTAGACTGAGCAGTGTGTGCTCGGTTAGACTGAGCAGTGTGTGCTCTGTAAATATGCAATTTTTCAAGTGGGTGTCACCACTAAAATGGTGTCTCCCGGTGCGGTCCGCACTCCCCACACCCGCCTCGCTAGGCCACCGGTAGAGTCTATGTAGCTGACCTAATAATCGAGGCATTTCTTGTTATTGCCGAATTAACAGAGTCTAATTTATTCTCGTCTTTTCAGAATTAAAAAGAAAGATTGATCGAGGAAAATATAAAAATATAAAATATTTTTGTTGGTGAAAGAATTCTTTGAGTGACAAAATGAAACAAAAAAATCACCATCGTAGAGCTATTAAAAGAACAGTTTCCGCCTATTTAAGATCTCTTGATAGCCGCAGCCTCCCGAGCCTAAGTCCTGTAAGGCCTCTATTCTTTTTTCACAACTACTAGGTCTTATCGTTTTTGCTTGTCTTAGAATGACTTAATATGCTCTTGATATGATCGACTATTTCCGGTTAGGCCCTCCCGGAGACAATACCTTAATCAGCCCTCCATCGGGTTCAAAATATCCCTCGTGCTGATGTCTTCAGGTCACGTCCTCGTAGCCGCCTCGGTGGGACCAAGCATAGGCGACCGCAGGGGGGGGGCAAGGGGGCGCACTTGCCCACCCCCCCCCTGGATTGATTGGATAAAATTTTTTTAGACAAAAATAGACAAAAAATTTATTAAAGTAAAGTGAAAATAAAGAGAAAGTAACTAAGCTGATGTCCTGTCCGTTCATTCACCATACAAATACGCTACAGTAAATTAAAACTATATTAAAACATTATTTTAAAAAATGTGCCCCCCCCCCTGGAAAGTTAATCGATTTTTTTGCCCCCCACCCCCCCTAGAAAGTTTTCTGCGGGTGCCCATGGGTCCAAGCCAAATGGACGCCACCGTTGTAAAACTTTACCTTTTGTCATCCAGACTCAACAAATTCCCATCCCTACGGGTAGTTTTCGGGGAAGTGAAGGTTCCCTTTGCCACAGCCACAATGTTACCCACGCTATGATGTGTACCCGCTGCCATATGGCTTATTTGGGCGAGACGGGCCGGCGCCTCTCTAAAGATGTGCCTAAACATTCGAATCAGTGCGCAAGATGGACAGTGACCTATCTCAGAAACACTCCGATAGAAGCAGAAAAACAACGGCTCCGGCGACTTGGCCATCACCTCCATTGTTTCCTGTACCAAAACCCCCGCTAGGGTGAAGTTAGCGAACTAAGTGATGCACACTCACGGGGGGCTTGACACTACAGGGCGTGAAGGTCATGTTCTCTTTTACTTGTTAAATCTTTTCTCCACCCCTACTTTTTACAACAAATCCCCATGGACTATTTTTTTAAATCTCTTTTCCTTCCCCTATTGCCTATACTAAATATCTAATCTGCTTTTAGCCTGTTACGTGCACCCTGCTGTTCTCTAGAATGTAAGATTTCAGCCAAGAGTTTATTTTTTTTTTAAAATATATTTATTTGTGCGACGGCGTTTGTTCGCTGCAGAAGACATGTTGTCTACACATTCGTTTATTTCGTTGCGCCCTTTTCTAGGTTTCCCCAAACATTTTAACATCTTTTGAATCATTAAATCTCCGTGTAACTGATGAAATGTCCCGGTGCATCGATGTGCCGGTGCGCATCTGGGTTAAACGTGTCTGTGTGTCCCTGCGTCAATGCGTCTGCGTTTCGATGTGTCACTAAGTAAATGTGTATAACAAGAGCTGTTTAGACACGTAAGGTAAAGGGCGTATAACTAGAGTTGTTTTTACGGTAAATTAGGTACAGGTGCATAACGGTTAGTAAAAAAATGCCGCCCTGGGCGCACTCCTAAGTTTGCGCCTGCGAAAATTTGATATTGGACGACATGTCCCGATAACACGGTAAGAACCCGGAGATGTCTATTGGACGACATGTCCCGATAACACGGTAAGAACCCGGAGATGTCTATTGGACGACATGTCCCGATAACACGGTAAGAACCCGGAGATGTCTATTGGACGACATGTCCCGATAACACGGTAAGAACCCGGAGATGTCTATTGGACGACATGTCCCGATAACACGGTAAGAACCCGGAGATGTCTATTGGACGACATGTCCCGATAACACGGTAAGAACCCGGAGATGTCTATTGGACGACATGTCCCGATAACACGGTAAGAACCCGGAGATGTCTATTGGACGACATGTCCCGATAACACGGTAAGAACCCGGAGAT